CATTGACATGTCTAAATAGCTCTACAGTAGTTAGTACATATAGAAAGTTAAAATGTTTTCAATGAGGTTTTATATTGATTGTGAACTATACCTTGAGTTTTGCTGCTACATTTTTAGCAAATTGAGCTACTGCTCTGAAATAATGTATAATTCTAAAGCGTACTTCACAAAATAAATATTGTATTGTTATGCTAGCAATTATTACTAAACTCTACAAGTTATTTCAAGGTAAAAAAACAGCTTCTGGACAGTGATTTAACTCACCAATTTTTCAAATATTAAATTTATAATCCTAAACTTTCAAAAACACTCGCATAACACTGCACTGCATCTTTTTATGAACTGGTCAGGATAGTGCAGCTGTGTTTAGAGTTAGGATTTAGAGGTTTCCAACACATCAGTAACAATTTTTTGTATGTAAATATTGCTTTTAAATAAAAAGTAAGTAGTCTCTTTAAACATTTAACCAATGTAATACCCATTGACATGCACAACATACTTTAATCTTCTTTTTGGTAGGTATTGATTGATGAAGTTTCAAGTAGATTGAAGCTGGAAGAATGAAAATCAGCATGTTGGCAGATGTTGCACCTGGAGTTTCCAAAGACATACATGTTATTAGTTTTTCTGAATCAAAGAATTTGTTGTAAAATACAAGGACAATGCTGAAAACAAAATGGTATACCTATAATTGCAAAAATGTCCGTTATTGAAGGTATAAAAATGACCAGCAGCACACAGAACGCCAAAAGAACCAATGTTACTCCGATGTGCCAGCTCCACTTAAATTGCTTTTGTTTAATTATCATCAACATAGAAGACCGCACCTGGAAGAAAAAAATATATATAAACAAGAAAGTCAACTGATTCCATTTATCAGCCACCAGAAGAAATTTCCAATATTTGTGTCATTTAATGAAGTTCATGTGTTTGTATTTTCATCCTAGCAGTAGAACAGAATAAAGAATTTTGTACAACTGTCAAACCACTACTTGTATGGTAGAGGTTGGCATGATTCCAGTTTCAAGGTTTGTTGATGAATACAACATTTACCAAAGCTATACCTTGTGAAGGCTGTGCACAGCTTTTATTAATTTCTGTAATTCATCCATTTAATTTACTCTAATACTATATTATATAATTCACTAACCTTTCCCTATATTTCACAGTGTGACAGGGCTGTTAGACAGCCAGGATTAGGAAGATTTAATTATCTTTCATTTAGATCATTTGCATTCAATGGAACCTCTGACAATGACTTCAGTAGCCACTTGGGAAAGAATGAGACATACACATTCACTACGCCCACCAGCAGTACACCACAGGACCTGAGAGCTGTACTGATAACACTGCAGCTGCTGGAAAGTCACAAGGATCTTGACTGCTGAAGAGGCAAGAGAAACCTGGCCGACTGACACTTATACTACCCTTGTGGCACATCAGCTGTCAGCTGCCCCTTGGGAAATTTCGGCTAGTGATGAGATATCTACTGACGTGAAGCAAGGACCTTTTATCTGTTGGAGCTCCCTTGGGGTTTTTCCAAGAGAAGCAGTATAAAGTCTAAGCTGTTTTGATATTACTCTTCTGACATTAAAATGTATAGCTTTAACAGGTATGCTGAGCAAACCTGAAGTGGCTATGCTTGTTAAAATATTTGTCAAATTTCAAAATCACTGGTTCTGAAGAGGCTTATGAATTTCTATTGATAAATGGGTCAAGCCGCCATCTTTGCTGATGCAGGTGACACAATACTTTAAACGTAAAATGTCTAGTCCACAAGATCCAATCAATCCAAGTCGACAGGCATTTTCACTAAGAGCAAATTGAAATCGGAAGACTAATACCTTACATATCATACATTTTCTATAAACTTAAAAAAAACAACTATCATGTTACAGTAGAAGTAGCTGTACATATATACTTACGACAAAGAAAAGAACAGGTACTGTCAGCACAACTGCAACGATAATTGCCAGTCGCACAGCAAGAATGATGGTGTCGCCCTCACTGGAGTATGTGTGAAGCAGCTCCTCATGCACAGAGCCTATATTGATACAACAGTGACCTTTAGCATGTTTCTCATGTTTAAAGAAAAAAAGAACACCGATTCATTTGCTGTGATATTGTAGTCTCAAATTTAAAACCACCTTACTGTAAAGTGATCTAAAAGACTGGTGGGATTGCATAATTCAGTATTCTCATTAACTGGAAAATCACAATAAAAGCTCTCACTTACCATAAAATGTAAAGTAGCCAAAAACAGCCGTTAGCAGGTACATCAGCAGCATGGCAAGAAATGAGATTATGGATACTTTTTCCATTTTTTTGATAGAGCGCCTACAAGTGAAAACAGTTTTTTATACAACTATTTTTTAACAGTACGTTTTTAAACAATCAGTATTTTTATACAACAAACTTACAGTTTTATGAATAGATATGCTCTGGACATTTAAGATACTACATTCTTAGTGCTTTATGAATTCTAAAAATTTCATTTCGGATGATTTCTGAATATGAAAGAATTTGCGCTACAGCACAGTAAAATGCTAAAATCATATCGAGCCAGAGGGCTTCACTGAATTGGTTGTTTTCTATCATTTTGTGAACTGAAACACCTGGATTAAACCCTTGTGAAAACGGATGTAAAAAAAAAGTTTATACAGCCATGTCACCTTATTTCTGATACAATATGAACTAAATCTGAATTGTTCACAGGAGCTAGAGGGTGGCAAAGGGTACCAGAAACGTAAATATCTTTGATGTTTATGCTGAAAGCCATTTTGCAGTGCTCCAGTAAATACTTGTTCATTTTCATATTTTAAAACTCATCCAAAATGAAGTTTCAGCATGTGAAGAAGTTTAAAATAATGTACCCTTTCTACTGACATTTCTTAAATGAAACTTTTAGTTTTGGTGGTATAGGAAAAACTAAATTACTACAGAGAGCAAATTATAATGTAAATAAGCAATGTCATCAGGTGCATTTCCATGCATTTAAAGCAATATTTAAGAGAGCATTATTCAAATACATTGCAAGGCAGCGTCTCATGTTACAATACACAAATATTATACTGATTATTTGATTACATGACTTGAGTTAACCAGCTGTAATTTAGAGGACTGCTTACTCTTTAAGCTCACTGTAGATTGGAAGGACGGATGGGTGACACACAAAGGCAAATAAAATGGTGGGTACTGCATAGACCGACTGAAAAAAAAAAAACAGTTTATAACAGTAGGTAGTGTGAACTATTTAAATACGTACTTTCATTAAGTCTTCTGTCATTGTGCATTTTTTAACTTTTGCCTTTAGAAACGAAAACAGATTTCAACTCCCATTTACTGTCTGCAAGCTTTATACTGTATAAACAATTATAAGTTGTCTTTATTTAAAAAAAAAGTGTTTTACTAAATCATAAACCATTAATCTCCTGAACTTAATCTAAGTTTATATCCTTACTTTTTGTTCACATTAACAACAAAAAATTATAACTAATCTACAAAAATAAATTCTAAGCCTCTAAAAGGCTTTTCTCTAAAAGGTAGAAAATTGATAGTATACAGTTACGTTACATCAGACACTGTAATACAATACATCTTTCAACTCAGCAATTAAAAAATTATAGGTGTATCCATGGACTATGAAAATATATTACATATACAAAACAATCACTAAAATGCTCCACAAATAGTCCACATGTACATTACTCAACTTAAATTTCCAGCGCACTCTTAAATACCCTACCTTGTTGTTAAATGTGAAATACTCCGCTGTGCAGTGGTCAGTTTCTAAGTAGCTCTCATTTGTTACATTTTGTTTCTCAGTAGTGCAGGGGAGAGTAAATTTTTTGCTGATAACCTAAAAAGTAATTCAGAACATTAGTGCCCTTTAAGGAGGAAAATGTATGTTACATATTAAAATTAATTATATACATTGATTGAACACTGGCTTACACTCACCACAATTAGAAAGAACACCATGCATGTTAAGGAGAAGCCACTGGTGTATCCAAGATACCCTGCATAAAAGAAAAGTCGCTTTAGTTGGAAGATAAGCAGTAGCCTTTTCTGTGTACAATATTGGTTACCATGTCGCAGGAAGGATATTGCTGCTCAGGAAATATCCTGAGAAGAGCAACCAGATATGCTCCCAGGTTTAAAGGAATGTCCTACATGGACAGGTTAGACTGTTAAAGACCTTCTTAATCTCAGACAGAGAAGACAGAGGTGCCCGATCCATATATTTAAAATCACCAAAGGCAGCAATAAAGACAACCCAGTGAACTACTTCAGTATCAATAATGAACCATAGGTCACAAGAGTTAAACCATTTACTCTTACTATATATTATTGTCCAGAAAGTGAACCGTCTCATTAGAAGAACAGTGAAAAACCACACCAACAACCACAAAACAGTAATCTCAGTCATACAGATCTGAGCTCATCCCAAAGACGTGGTTTAAACATTTTTTTTTATATCGGCCCAATTTGAAATTTCCAGCTTTTTCAGCTGCAGTTCCTGGACTATTGGGAAGAAACAGATAAATGTAGACATATTAGAATACCAATGTCTTTCCTTTAAGATGGCCTGAAAAGGGACCTACCTATCCTTTAAGCTTACTAGTGCCAACAGGAGGAGTGGGGCAGCTCTACCTGACAATCACCGCAAGTCAACAAAGATGTCGCTATTTTCTCTAAAGATGTTAAATCCTTAGCCAAGCTAATCCAAACCCATTTCCAGCAGTACTCTGCCAATTACGTACAGCCAGTGTGGTATCCCAGAATCCCAGAAGGTTGATTAGTGAGATGCCACAGGCTTGAACCACCTGGTGATTCTACATGTTTTTGTCTGATCGGTGAGACAGAAACAGTACTGGTATGCTAATGAGAGACCAATGACGGAGATTCACTACAAAGTGAATCTAAATGATAATGAGTCCAGGAGATCTTTTGGGAAGCTAGGAGCACAACCGCTCTAAAATAAAATGGAGACAACCAGAAATAAAACCGTGTGCATAATTGCTGAGGTTTGCACAGAAGATAGGCATTCCTTACTACAGAAACTAACTACATACAAGAAAATTCATTCAAAAATAAAAAATACAATTGAACGTGTCCTGAACGTTTCTTTGGGGCGACTGTGCTCTTGGAATTTGAAATTTTGCTTAATTTTGTTTATTAGAAGTACCAGAATGACGGATTAAATCTATTTTAATAAAACACCTAATGTTTAAAAAGTCCATAATATTTTACCATTTACTTTGGCATTATTTTACGCTGAGTATTTCAAATAATCAGCACATACTGCATTTATTGATATACTCATGATAATCATAAATGTGTCTAATTTTACAATTTTCCAATGATTCTGTGTACATATAAGAGAAGTAAACAGAACAATATTACAAACTTTACAGATGCCAATACTCTCTACACCAAATGCCAATACTCTTTTTTAATGCGATACTCACCCAGAGACTTTAAAAGGCAGAGTGGAAGGATAATACCAATGGTCACAATAATAACCAGGTAGTTTCCATTTAAATACCACACACTAGGAGGAAAAGAAACAACAATTGAATGCTAAAATACAGGACATTTTTAGGAATTCCAAATGAGCACATAAGAGTTACTGCTACGTTTTAGGACATGCAGCTATTATATTTTATAATAAAACTGTTAACTCAAATAATTCATCCATTTATTTTCTAAAGTCTTTATCAAATACAGTCATGGGGGAGCTGGAGCCTATCCTGGCAACCAATGGGCGCAAGCCAGGACAATGTACCCGTCCATTACAGAGCAGAGACAGACAATTTTCCCAGAAGCCAATTAACCAGTAGGTTTTTGGATTGTGGGAGGAAACCAGAGCATCCCGAGAAAACCCACACGAACACAGGGAAACATAAAACTCCATGCAGATAGCAGCCCAGGGACTGAACCCAGGGCCTCACTGCACAGAGGCAACAATGCTAACCACTGCACCACCATGCCTCCCTTTAAATAATTCAAACATTTTGAAATATGTCTGTGCCAAGGATACTCAGGATTCAACAATGCATTCCTTAGGTTTACAGGGTGCTTCTTTTAAAAAAAGATTCTTACTCTCTTATTTCTCACCAACATGCCCCAGAATTTGAAACTGACAGAATTTACCACAGACCCACACCTGAGCAACAGCAACCAGCTATATTTAAAAAGTTTTTGTGTTTGCTTTGTTATTATGCCAGTCAGCTCAAAACACTTCTGCTCAGATTTCTCTTAAAATTATATGAGCTGTGTTCTGTTTTATATTTATTGACTGTAGTATTATTACTGCTGCACTACACTGTACATATAATACTGTATTTGTGTCACAACCATTTATTTTAGTACTTCCTACACAATCCTGTACTAAATTTTGTGAAGTACTAAACTTTGTAAGGTATTAGAATTTAAATACTATGTACATTTGTATTATGTTTTATCTTACTGCTTGTAAGTACTTGTAAATCATCTTTGAAAAGTGTCACCTTCACCATAAACAATTATAAAAATGCAAAAAACATTTAAATAAACTACTCCAGTATTCTGAAGGGACACTGAGCTCTTAGTCTACTTACTCAAGATCTTCCTTCAATCCAGCCAGGGTGGCGATGACCTTTGGTAATTCATTTTTCACAATAAACATGTATGACAGAGTAGCTGTACAAAAAAAAACATCTTAGTTAAAAAACAAGCAATTGTGGGACACGACATTCTGATGCACACAAAAACTAAATGATATTATCCAAAAAGACCATAAAAAGTCACACTGAGTCTGAGGTAGATATTAAATAGTAATTAAACAAAATTGATTTATTGATACGAGTGCTACAGACCAAATCTCCAATAGCTACAATGATGCTTAACACAAATTAGATCTGCACATTGCAAGAAGGAGATCACGTTAAAGGACTTCAATTTTACCCACAGACTGGACAGCCTTTTGTTATTGGTAAGTTTAAGTAGGAAAGGTTTTTCCAAGGCAATTCAGGGCTGTCAATCTGATGAGAAGTAATGCACTTTTGTAACGGTAAGCTTATAACATGAGAAGCTGCCAAGGTTTTCCAGCACAGAGCATGAGGAAAGCTGGAGGTCAGGTTAGACACATAGAGAAACAAATTTTCAGCATGCAAAGCAACCATATGTTACTGCCCTCCACGAATCACACCTTTTATATTTAGACTGCTGTGCGGTGAAACAGAACACTGTCAAAGGCAACTGGAGAAAGAGGGCAACTCTGCCTGGTACCCCTGTGGAGTAAAATAATTTTAGAGTGTGCTTGGTAATGTGAACTGAGGCAAGAGGAAAGGCATAAAATTACACATAAGTTCCATAAGATAGAGTCAGGGCCAAAACCAAAGCTGTTAACTGCATTAAAATGATGGTGCCACTTAATGTGGTCAAAAGCTTTCACCACATCAACTGAAACATATCTCTGTGCAAGATCTGAAGTTGACAAACAGTAAAGTAAAAATGCACATGCACAGTATAATTTATGCACTAAATATGTTATCCTTGAGTCCACTGAGTTATGCCTCTTTTTTCTCTTTCCTCATTATAAGCAATGTATATACGAGAACATTGCTTTTTTATTTTAAATATATATTTTATAATTATGACTTATTAAATAATTTAAAAACAATGATCTCTGAATATTTTGGATGATCCATCTATTCTTTTATAATGCCTAATAAAGAAGCATTTAATTCAAAAGTTCACATTTTGAAACTTGTATCTAAGCCTTCATAGGATAACTCAACTAGTAGAAGACATTGTACAAGTACAATAATTTGTCTCTACAGAATTCTTTATCTACATTCAACAACTATATGATAAACAACCCTTTCTTCTATTTATAGATCTTACAGCTTGCTCAAGTTGGACAGCTTCAAAGAAATGCATTTAACTCACATCGATAAATCTTTGTGTGAGCTTTTTTGGCTTTACCACATTATTTAATAATTTAAAATTGTTAGTCACATAGCAACAATTCACCTGTTTTTTTTCCACATTATTTGTGATCAACAGGTTGGCCAAACCCAAATTTAAGGTGGAGTACAGGCATGATTTGAATTAGTTTGCTTAATTGGTTTGTTTGGGAGAACAACTTGTCTGAAAGAATGAGGCTATCGAAACCCCCTAAAGAAGCGAGGCACCATAATGAGGATGCATTCTTAGATATGAATTCTTCACTTACGAAGATGGAAAACAGAATACAAAGGAAGACAAAGGTAGCAGTTTGAAAGCATAAAGTGGATATGAACAGTCCAATGCAAGCTTGAGCACCAGTTCCAAGTCAACCCGTGAGTTGCAGGATTCAGAATGACTTGCACTGAAGAACAGCTTTTTAAGTGAGGATAGAGAAGAGGTTAGTGGAATAACTGCTGAATGATGGTGTCAGCACTCCATCGTTCCCAGAGTCCCCTGGGAATGCCCTCCCTACTCCCCTCTCCCTCTATATCACTCTTTCTGTGGTCCCTGCCTGGCCCGGGTTTTCACTTCCCCTTTGTTCCTTCTGACCCCATGTTTTCAGCATCAGGCCTCCAACCCACCTGCCTACATGACGATGGTCACTAGATATGAACTCCAGGGAGCACATCAGGGCTACCCTAAACCACCCATCATGGAAGTGTCTCAATGAACCCACTTCCTGGGACTCCCCGATATAGAACCTGTGTTAGGAACTGGGTACACACCAGGAATTCCAACCACACCCAAGCACTTTATTTCCTTGTTGAAGAGAAAGGGGTGCATTATAGTTTACAAACTCCATGCCACTGTTTTTCAGATTTCACTAGGTTCTCTTTACAGGTTCCAGAAAGTAATTAGTATTCTTCAGGTAATCAGAAAAGGTCCAAAAACCTGTGATATACAGGATTTTTTACCAGGGTTGATTTTCACATAGAATTAATAAAACAGGCTAAATACTTACCTCCAATGTTTTGAAGACATGATGAACCAAAGACTGCAAGCTTTCCAGGCATCCCAAATGCTTTATGACCCAAGTCTTCATAAACCATACATTCTTAATAAAAATGGAAAAAGTGGATCAAAGATCTTGTATGCACTTAAATATTCACAAAGAGTACTCTGCTGATTTAGAGTACTTTAAAAATACAGATGGACAAAACAGAATTCTTGTTAAACCACATGTCTTGGTTCCACTTTTGAAACCTTTTTCTAACAAAACCACTTTTGTTGAAAATGTAATGGAATTTCAACAAATATATCAAGTATTTTCAGATCTCCTGACACTCTAGAACTCGGGTTCTTTACCAAGGGGGTTGCACAGCAGGCAACAGAGACAAAATCAACCAAAGCTTAACACACACACTAGGGCGGTAAAGGGACACGTATGCAGCTTCAGGGGTGGTTACACGTCAAAGGACAATAACAGAGGTAAACAATTAACTATTATATATACCTGCACAGTTAAGACTATTTACATTAGCAGGGTGACTTAGTGGTCACTCTGTGAGCTCACAGACCAGTCCCCGGCTAAAACTCCCAGCCTGCTCTGTGGTGCGCCCGGCGAAGGCACTGCATTAATTTCTATTGGGTGGGCCACGATTGCATTTATATTTGTAGCACTTTTTTCTTTATCCACAAGGTAGTCGTGATTAGCCTAGCAATGGAGCTTTTTTTAATAGGTGGCACTGGAAGAGTGAGAGCTTAAGATAATGTAGAGAAACGCGCAGCAGAAAACTCCGAACAGAAAAAAAACAAAGACAATGAGAAAATACTATGAGTTTTTTTAACAAAAACTACAGGAGCTAAGAGGTGCACGACTCTTAAAGATTATCCCAAAAATTAAGCATAGGATGACTGGAGAGGCAGACTTTTGCTGCTAAGCCCTCAAACTGTGGAATAGTATTCCTAAAAATGTTAGAGAGGCTGGCTCTGTGGATATTTTTAAACGCCTGCTCAAAACTTATTTTTGTACTCTTGCTTTAACTCGATTTTTCTTATATGCTATTTGTATTGTTTGTGTAAGCATCTTTTAATTTGTTATTGTTGCTTATTTTAAGTTGTTTTAAGTTTTTTTAACAATTTCTTTGGAACAAGCACTTTGAGTTGCAAAAAATTGTATGAAAGGTACTACCTGTATTTTGGACCTTCAAAAAGAACCCCTGCTCTAGAAGATATTGTTATTATTTTATTGGGACAATCTGAAAAGAACTAGCATGTATTTTTACCAGTTTGAACTCCATCTTACTACATTTACTACCATGCTTACTTTTCTTTCTGCAAGTGTGGATGCTATCATCAGTGTAAACCGTGTTTGAAAATCAACCTATGGTTGAAAATGTATGTTATTATATATTCCCGAGCTTCTGTGTTTAACATACAGAAGATCTCAAAAATTGATATTACAATATATTTATATAAATATATCACCAGTACTTAATCAAGAAGAGAGGACCAGGAATTAATTGTATTAATGTAAAATATCACTACCGGCAGCTTTACGAGATATGTTGGTCTAATCTAAGAGTCTACATGGATAATTTAGTATCTCCCACCCACAAGGGCATAATAAAACAAAATACTTTGTTTACTAGTAGTGCTCCTTGATGTACTAGTGGAAGGCATTTTATATATTTCAGGACCTACAGATGCAAAATTAATTGTGAGATTTGGCAGTGTGGCATTATGAAGAAGTATAAGCATACAACAGCAGACAACTGTCATACAAGCACATGAATATATTCTGAATATATTCTGAACTGCAATTTGTTTTGGTTCTTGTTTTGAATTGTTTTCGATTTACTACAGGTTTATGTAAGCTAGTGGTGTTATGCGTCACTCCTGAGGTATTGCAATATCTTATTTTCACTGGCTCTTTGTGTTCATTTTACAGAAGATGCCAGACTTGTTTTAGACTTGTTTGGCTGCTTTGCAGCTAATACGATTAACAAATGACATTGAGTCACAAACCGGTAACAGTTAAGGCCTGCTCAAACACACTACAGACATCACACATACCTGCTTTCTTGGAACATTCCAGCAGAAGTCTAATGGAGTAAAGTGACAAGACTGCAACTGACAGTAAAAGAATCCTGCATAAAAGCATAAAAATGTTTTAGATTAAATCAATAGCACAGTTAACATAAGAGGTTGCAAATCATTTGCAAACAAACCATATAGTCTTTCATCCTCATGAAATGCAACTGTCATGTTTATTGAATATAAAATGTAGCCGCATAAATACCACTATCATTTTTTCTATTGCTAACTATGTAAACCTTTAAAGCACATTTTTGGTGACAAAAAAGCAAAAATGTGACAGATGGCAGGACATCAGGCTGAAATTCAAGCCTGGATTAAATCAAAACTTCTCCAACTGCAAATTAATCAATCAATGACTTGACCAGTGTCATTTTCCTGTACACTCTTCCCTGCCACCACCAAACGTGTTTATAAAAATCGATTGGCAGGTGGTTTAAAATTTGATCACCAATGTACTCCCAAATTTATATATATTAAACTACAATGTGCATTCATATTTGAATAAGAAAAGGTTAAACTTCAAAGCCAGACATTTCAGTAATGCTTATTACAGATACTTTTATGATTTGTGTAATAGTGTATTTTGTCTTATAAAGTATGCTGTAAAATATTTGCTAAAAACACACATCAGTGATGTTGATCTAGTGGTGGGCAAAAACATCTGTTGACTTTCTAAGCACTATAAATCATTACCAAATGAAACTTAATTCCTTTCTCCTTTCCAGTTAGTAATGTCATAAGGCAGGACAGAAAAACATGATGCACACAAAATGTACAAGGGAAATTTTCTTGTATTAGCAATTAAAAATATTTTTTTTATGTCAAAATCATTTGAGACTTAAATAATGGAAGGAACACAAAGTTCACTTCATTTAACATAATTATTTGTCTTGCATTTAACATTAATATCTTGCATAACCAGACAGGTGTAATGCACTGTTTGCAGTGTTCTTAGACTGCACTTCCCTCCTTTTTGTATTTCACACTTGATTTGTTCTGCAGCAGTATCTTGTTTTGTTTCTATTCCATTAGTGATACGTTATACTGACTGTGGAAAAAAATGAACTAAACAAAAGCTCATTTGTATAATCTTTAGAATATAGGAAATAAAAATAAGTCAATATTAACAGAGCATCAGCTATATTTTCATAAAGTATTAACTAAGTTATTCTCAATTATCAGCTACTTAATCTAAACAGAAAAACCATCAAAGAACTGTGGAGGATTCATGTAACAGGAAATGCAAGAAATAAGCCTTTAAGCAGCTCTTCTACATACATGATATGCAATAGCTCACAAAACAGTGGACATACAATACAAACAATTTGCTAGTAAATTAATTTGGCTATATAATTAAAGTAATGGATATGGTTTTACAGCCCCCTGCTTCCCCACAAATACTATTCAACATTATTTTTAAAATGAGGCTGATGATTTTATTTTTCATACTGCAAATACTGCACTACAGGAAACTGGTGCTGTCAGAACACAATTTATTTTTGCATGCAAAAATTAACCAGTTAATTAAGAGCAGTTCTAATCTTTTCTCATTAATGAGATATTTTTGAGGGGGTAAAAGTGCAACAGGCTTATGTACTGTACTATATATGTAACATATACTATGTCTATGTAATACTGCAATAATACTAAAACTGCAGATTATATAACCCGAATTTTATACTTGTCATACTATGGGCATGTTCTGCAAAACTGCACATTGCAGTTACTAATTTCATTTTCATTTAACTTAAACATTCTGTAACAAACTGACTGAAACAAAGCAATTTAATCTAAAGTGATGCACTGCACAACTGTTAATCATTAACTTAAATACATTATTTTACAAAGAAGTGAGAAAGAATTGTGTAAATTTTAGCTAGCTTCTGATAAAAATCCAACAGTATCAAGTTATGGGATCTATTGACAATGTTAAGTCAATCAGGAAATGAAATCTAAACTAAATCAGTAAGAGAATGGCACAAAACAAACATTAAAGAAGTAACAAGAAAAACAGATGGTAGTATAAACTTTCCCTTAAAGTCCCCTTTAAAAAATGGGTTTTAAGTATATTTTGTAGTGTAGGTCAGAGGCTACAATGAGCAGACTATATTATGAAAGTGTCATATTCAGTTTTATATACTTTGCTTAATCTAGACATGAATGCACAGGTTTTTTGTAGCTGGCTAACTGGTCATTCCTCGTCAATTCACTACTATCACTCCTGAGGATGTACCGAGTGATATTGGGCCTGATGATGGGAATGGATAGAATAGATTTTAAGACTCATGTGAATTACATGGATTCAAAGATTGGGGTTTTAATTGATTGAATTAATGTTTAAAGTGAAGGAATAAGTAATGTGTATTCCAAACATGTTATGAAATGTACCAGGAACAACACTGGTAACCCGATACCTTGCAAACCTTTATAACTTCCGTGTTTATAGACACCAGGTTTTCGAGAAGTACTCTGTTATGAGGATACTTTATTATGATCATTTTAAATGCAACTGATTAAAATGTCTTGAGGAAAAGTATAAACTTTGTCCTATTTGAAATGTTTCAATTTAATCTACATCCACATACATACTTTCAAGTAAAGATAAAGATTTTAAACGCATATAGAGAAATAAAAAATGTTTGTGACAATTTGCATTATTGTTTACTTACGGTACAGTTTCAAAAATATAAAATTTAGCTTTTTAACAGTTAGGTTGCAAACTGATTTGCTTTTCCAAACAGGCTAGAACATGTAGAAAAAAAATAATTTTTATTATTGTACGATTCAGTGTTCTGCATCATTTGTGAATCTGTTTCATGTACCTTTATTTTCATAATATATAGGGCCTACTGTGCTTAATGTGAAAAGTGAGTTATCTATTAATGAGTAGATCAGTGACACAAATAATAGTGCGATTTCATAGTTAATTAAAGCATTGTGAATCTCTAAAGAGGAAGCAGATGGGCTCTAAAATAATCGTGTACATGATCGGACACTTTTTTCATTGTTTTAAATAGCATGGGTATTTTTCTGTTTTAGCTGTTCACACCCTTACAAGTTCTTGAACTTTTAAGTACAATCATTCTCAAGGCATTCGCTTACAGTGACTGCAGAACGTGTGCCTCCCAAGCTGCTGACTGCCCGTGTTTAACTGTAGCTGTTGGAGAAACAGCACCTAGAGGTGCTGCCATCTATTCAGAGGAGAGAACGTCTCCCGTGGTCTGAATGGAATATTGTGAAATGTGTTGCATTTTATATGGTAAAAGCAAAGAAAAAAAAAACTATTATTTACTTAAACCTTGTATATTGTGCCAATATGAGACTTCAAACTCGTTCTCACTAAACAGTGCTGAAGACTACTGTCGTGCAGGTCCTGTCGAAATACATTGCACTTAAGCGAAATCTCAGTCCTCCTTTTCCTACACCTATCACTGGACGACTTTAACAAGATAGTAAAGCTTTATATTTAGCAAACCACTTTTTCATGAACCAGTTCCAACTTTTTAAAACACTTGTAAAAGGCAATAGCTGTAAATTTCTTTTACATATGGATGTGAATCCTAGCAAGATTTCTTCAAAATAATTCAGGTGGGTTACAAATTAGAGCTGTAGCTTAAATGAAATTATAAAAAATATCTGAAAATAACTAAAATGTTTGAAAAAAAGAGGAAAACTAAATTAAAATCATAGCAAATTATTTCTGAACTGTAGGATGAATGTATTGTATACATACAGAAACAGAAAGATTCCAGTCTTAGACAATGCATAGGAAAGGCCAAGGATTCCAGTGCCCATAATGGCATTGCTGAGGTTAAAAACAGACATTCCAAAAGAAGTTCTTCCAGAACCCTAGAGAAAAGGAAAAAATAATTCTTATTAAAAATTAAGAGAAAGGAGGTGGAGAATATAGAAGTGTATAATGACATGTATGTGATATATACTGCATAACGAACCAAGTTCCCCTCTTACAATTCAGACTGTTTTTACTTTGAAAAATAAGGATATACACCATGTAGGAGCAGAATAATAATTTGTATTTTAAAACTAGAGACCTAATTTTGACATCCTTCAAACACGTTTATCTTTTTTTCACCTCTAAAAAGTTTTATTTTTGGGGTGGGAGCAACTTGTGGGTGCTGTGAACTGAAAAACACCTTTTAAGTTATACATCTGTTATTTACTTCACATGAATCTAAAGGCAATGGGCACATGGTATTATTCAAAAGACACCATGAACTTTGCTGTCTGCTGAGATAAATCTTAACATTTACAAAATATAACAAAAATCCAAGAGAAGTGCAGAGCAACAATATTTAATAACAGACTTGTACACATTCATTATAACTTTCGACTTTTACTTACACATTCTTCATACTTTTTATTCTTCAAATGCTCTTTTGTTAGCGATGTTTGGCTCTCAAAATCACCCTGCTCCTGTTCTCTCTCTACATCCCGTCCTATATCCCTGAAAAATACAGAATATCGCAGTGGACCATTTTTAAGAAGTAGGAAACACTTAAGCCTTCACACTAATACTATTAGGTATACATAATATTTTTCAGATTTTCTGCCGGAAAGAGTATATTCTACAACAAGCACAAAAACAAATAAAAAGTCAGATCCAATTAAGGAGATAATATGGAAAAAACACTCTCATCATATTATGTACCAGTTCTGCAATGTACAATATATTTATGCAATATTTTCATTTGAGAAACATCAGGATACAATATGTGTGTGCATTTGAACAAGGTTGTTTCAAACATGGTGGTTGTTGATTCATCAGCATCAGTCAATGTTTAAATATTAATATCTTAAATAAGTAGACTGCTCTATGTTAGCATGCTTTGCATTATACTGCAGGCACAATGTAATTTAATACCTTAAAAACAATTTAGACCTTTAAATTAAACATTGGGTAGTGTGGCAATTTGACTTTAATAATAATAATAATAATAATAATAATAATAATAATAATAATAATAATAATAATAATAATAATAGCTTACACTTATATAGTGCTTTTCAGGACACTCCACTCAAAGTGCTTTACAGGTAATGGGGACTCCCCTCCACCACCACCAATGTGCAGCCCCCACCTGGATGATGCGACGGCAGCCATAGTGCGCCAGAACGCTCACCACACATCAGCTATTAGTGGGGAGGAGAGCAGAGTAATGAAGCCAATTCATAGAGGGGGATTATTAGGAGGCCGTGATTGGTAAGGGCCAATGGGAAATTTGGCCACGGTGGGATTTTTAATGACCACAGAGAGTCAGTACCTCGGTTTTACGTCTCATCCGAAGGACAGCGCCTGTTTACAGTATAGTGTCCCCGTAACTATACTGGGGCATTAGAACCCCCTGCTCATCCCAACAAGGATTTGAAATAAAGGATACAGTAATGTTGTTGAAGGATTACCTCCTTTTATTTGACCTACTTTCTTACTTCTGAACACTTTCAGAATGAGCAATCTGGTTTTGGGAGATTCCCACTCGGTGGAGGGCTTCGGAAGTTTTAAAACCAATAAAATCTTTTTTTCGGCGCTGCTTACATTTCAACATTCCCGTCGTTGGGGAAACCGTCTTCATTTCCATAATTATCCTGAATATCCGAGCTCTGTTTCACGGCCGAGTATCCATCCCTTTTCATTTTGTAACTCCAGGTAACGAGACCAGGTCTTCAAGAAGCCTTTTATAAAGAAAAAAAAAAATCAAGTCGATCTGACTACAAAGTCTCCTGAATGACTCTTTAAGAATTAGGCAGTACCAAAAAAGGCTAAAAAACAAAAACAGATACAAGGAAGCTTGAGTAAAGTAAGCTAATTTCGATAGTTACAACAATATAACCAATATAATTTTATGAATGTAGTTCAGGTGGGTAGCTGCGTCAGCATGCGTAGGGTGCAAAGGAACAAATAAACCTATTACTTGTAATTTTATGAATATCTATTCAGTCACTTATATTTTATAAAGTTATTTATATTGGCTTATATTAGCGCATTGTTAATATTTTCACATTGCAGGTTTTCTTATTTTTGAATTAGATTTTAAACAATTCTTTGTTCAAAGCAGCACGTGGCGCGAAACCGTGCCCACACACAGAATTAATTCTGTTCAATATGCATCAAATAGGCACCATGTTAATTATGATTTAAATACAATATTACAAAAATACGAATTAAAGGTTTAATTTGTACTCTATCCATCCCACCCTTCCATTTAAGATAGACGTGTGGAGCGCACATGGAAATTGTCACATTATCAACGACTCTCAACTCAAAATAATGCAATTCCAAAATAATGGAAAATAATACAATTTACACCAAAAAAAATATAGAAACAGTTTGTATTTAACACGTTTAATACTTTAAAAAAATGTTTTACTTACGTTTCGGGAAATGAATCCTATACAGTATCTAGTCGAAAGGCGGTGGTGAGGGGGAAAACCTGGTTTTAAACTCGAGTTAGAAGATAATGGAATATACACTCGTCATTTGTCGATTCAAACAAATATACGTGTATGTGTAGATAAATTTAAGCTGTTTCAATACAAAAATTATTTGCTCGTAAGTGTTAACCTCCTGTTCAGTTTCAAACCAGTGTGATGTATTCGCCAAAAGATGTTGCATCAGCCAACAGAGAAACGAAACAGGGAGGAGTTCGATCCCGATATTGACTAGTGGGTGATTGGTATGATACAACAATGGTACTAACTCAATTAATTAGAATTGAACAACATTTGCAGTTACACCCTATGCACAGTGTATTGCCTTTTATCCTGTACTTAACGTTTGGTTCACTTATTCAGTTAATAAACTTAAACTAAAGCTAGCAGTTAAATGGCAACATCACAGACTGTGGTACACCTGTACTGCTCTTTTATTTCTTTATATTGTAATCCATATCTGAAAAGGAAATAACACTACAGATCTATTGCCATGTCTGCTGTGGCGACTCTGCAAGTTAGAAAGGCTGAGGGGCACTCCATTATACCACTGCAGAGGGAAGAAGTACAGACCATTGAACAGCTGAATGCCTCATGTTCACTGCTTAGTGAATACACTGCTTGTGGTTCCAGTTCCAGACAATTCATTCAATTTTTAATTCTTAATGCAAAATGGAAAAATAACTTTCAAAGTTTTCCCTGAATTTGTGGTAATAAGTGCTGTTCATATTACCATAGTACTGGGGCTTCCTGGTGCCTCCAGCTCAACAGCCCTATAACTAGTAATCTAGTTAAGCCCTTTAGTTTACTAGGCATCTGCAATATTGTCACCCAGACCTGCATCTCTGCCCCTATCAATACTCATTGTTTTCTGAGTGCGGCAGGTCCACAATGCAAAAATGGCCAATGGCTCTGACTGTCTGTTTTGTAGGAAAACATCTACATTCCTACATACCCTACATTCCTTCAGAGCTGCTACAAAGGCCCTAACAGTAAAGCTGAGTTGATTAGCAGCTGGTGATTCCAAGATTAGTTGGTGGGTATAAGCAATCATGCAATAATATCTTATATACTTATATAGCACTTTTCTGGACACTCCACTCAAAGCGCTTTACAGGTAATGGGGACTCCCCTCCACCACCACCAATGTGCAGCCCCCACCTGGATGATGTGACGGCAGCCATAGTGCGCCAGAACGCTCACCACACATCAGCTATTAGTGGGGAGGAGAGCAGAGTAATGAAGCCAATTCATAGAGGGGGATTATTAGGAGGCCATGATTGGTAAGGGCCAATGGGAAATTTGGCCAGGACACCAGGGTTACACCCCTACTCTTTTCGAGAAACGCCCTGGGATTTTTAATGACCACAGAGAGTCAGGACCCCGGTTTTACATCTCAACAGAAGGACAGCACCTGTTTACAGTACAGTGTCCCCGTCACTATACTGGGGCATTAGGACCCACACAGACCACAGGGTGAGTGCCCCCTGCTGGCCCCACTAACACCTCTTCCAGTAGCAACCTTAGTTTTTCCTAGGAGGTCTCTCATCCAGGTACTGACCAGGCTCACACCTGCTTAGCTTCAGTGGGTTGCCAGTTGTGAGTTGCAGAGTGATATGGCTACTTAAATAAATCCATTGGCATTAAAAAATAACAATTTAGGATTAGATTATGAATATTTATTCTACTTTTTTTAAGGTTATTAAAATGTAAAATTATTTATTATGAAAATTCACTACATTCAATATATCTTCATTCAGATGTCTCCAGCCCAAAAGTTTCTAGGCGTACAGTATGTGACTGCTGGAGAAATTGTGCTTTATTTGTAACTATAGGTAATTTCTATGTTCAAGCCACATTAACTCATCTAACCAGAGCTTATTCTGGTTTCCATGGCATTTAGTGGCCCAGAGAGCATGTGATTCCCCCACCCCTCCCTAGGAAGAGACCTCAGTTCATTACAGGAGTTATACCCCAGCAATGCTGGTCGCCATTTATACAGCTGGGTGGTCTAAGGTAGTTGGAGTAAAGTAAAGTGTTAGTACACCAAAAGGTTTGTTTTGTAATGACCAGTGTCCATTCTTTGAGCATGTATGTGTAGATTTAGCCTGACTGGTGTGTGTGTGTCAAGTGTAAATCATATGAAATGCTGTCAAGGGAGTGTGGCATTTGCACTTGTCAAGCTGTGCTTGCCTTAGTGGCATGACTCAGCACACAGTTAAACAGTATTTTCTTAAAAGTGTGACTGTGAATTTTCACAGAATTTCTCCTCCTCTTCTATCTAGTTGAATATGAACATTTATAGTTAGTATTTATTTTAAATGGAAGATATATTATACGTTTTTTTACAATAATTATTTTTGTTATATTGCATACAGAAAATAACATACATTGTATAATACAAAAGTTGCTGTTTATATTACAAATAATTATTTTATTAACTCAGCCAAAGTAAACAAAAAGGGACTGTTCCTGTCTTCCATATTTTCACTGGTGCACTTGCACTGCTCAATGCAGTAAGAGTACCTCTTCCAATTATCAACCATTTTGTACCATCAGGTTTTATCCTTTATTCTACAATAAGCCTTAGAAATATTCTGCATATACAATCATGCAATTTTTAATATGCTGATGATGCTTACAGTTCCCAGTTAAAGTTTAGTGTTTACTCTATGGATTATTCATGTGTCTACTCTGATAGGATTTTTAATGATATAAGTGTATCTTTATAGTTGCTTCATTTCCCTTGTAAATTGAGTGTGCATAATAAGACCATTCCAGCCATCTGTCTAAAGTGGCAAACTGGCTCTAATCCAGAATGAGTATGTGAAAGTCTTTTAGGGGATATATTGTATTAAAACTATATAACCAGAGTAGTCATATAAATACACTAGTTAGATATAGTTATATAGTTAGATATATAGTTTATTAAATAGATACATAGATATATTGCTGCAAATCTCCATCCTCAGCGGACGATCACTGCAGACAGCAGACAACAGGTATCTTAATTAAACCGATAAAGTTCTAGGTGTACACTTGGCATCTCCTTTCCTGAGCCTTTAGGCTATTTAATATTGACGTATTTTCAAGCACAAATAGTTCTCTCCAGTTCTGTCCCAGCTTCCTGCCCAAGGCAATTAATGTTTCGTCATTCCCAAATCTAGTAGTAGTATGGTGGGTGCATGTACCAGGAGGAGTCACAATTTCATGTTCCACTTAATGAGGCATTTCAGGCACTGAGCTACACCAGTTTGCATTCTCCCACAAAAATTGTCAAACACCAGATCTTCACTGTATCGTGAAGCAATTTGTATAGGCTCTGGCATCAATACAGCACACATTCATGGAATGATTTCAGTGATATCCCTTGGATCTCATTTTCTACAGCCCTTTAATACAGTGATGTGGCACACCTGATTTTTTCATGTGTTTAACCAGTTACCAAAGCATATAATCAACAAAACACACTTACTCAACTGTACTGTTATTAAGTCAGACTTCATGGGAATGGGTCGGAGAAAAAAGTAAGTCTCAAGGCAGGATAAATACAGGCACAACTACTGTATGAGCACAAGAAAAAGGAAAGAATCATTATAATAAAAAGGGAACAATCATTATCATCAGAGAATTAGGAGATGTTTTAACCATGTAAGAGTTTAACTCTTTCTATCAGGTTAAATGCAGGAAAGTGCGATAAGATTCATAAACTTCATAAATAACTTTGCCGTCTTATTTGTATGAGGAAATTGTAATTTACTATATTGTTGAATCTTGCATAAAACAATACTATTACTTACTCTCTGATCCTTTGGCCAATGTTGCCTTTCCACTGTAAGTCCAAACACCACAAGATAGGCTTTCATATCATTCTGCACTGTTTCCTTCTGCAAAATAGAGCTGGGTGATTGGACTTTCCCTCAGACACCTCTGTCACCTCAAAAGTCCTCTTTGTTTTTAACACAGTTGCCAATCATTGTGACAAGTTATGAATAACACCTTGTATCTATTCTAGCTGGTCTTTGAAGCATTCGACTGGTGTCTATAAGATCTTCTATCCTGGATTTTGTTTCTGGTTAACCACTATGTGTGTTATTCCACTTCTACCTCCATATGTGGAATATTCACTTTACATGGCTGGCCTGGTAGAGAAAATTCAAATAGAAACCCTGTTTATATGAACAAATCTGCTGTTTATTTTGTGATGAAAGCTCATTACTTCAACAGAGAACCTATTTGAACTGATCCCAGTGTTAGATGAATTCTTTCCCACCCTATCTTGATCCATGAACCTAGTCAAACCTCCACTTAATTCTTTTGCGATTCTATATGAAAGCCTTCACTATATGAAAGTTTTTCAGCCTTAACCTCTGGCTGTGATCACACCAAGAGCTCTCATCTTCTTTACCATCAGAGTTCACTGGCTCTTAAGATGGCAAGCATAACAGAGAAAACTAATTGTCCTTATCCCTTATCCTGTGTCATATAACCATGTAAATTCTTTAAGACCTGAAAAGCTGTGTACTGCAAAAGACAACTCTACTTATGTTTTAACACTTTTTAATCATGCACAAGGGTAGTATATTCTACCTATTTTCCATATCCTTGTATGAATGTCTGCTGAGTAAGTGGGGACCAGCAATTCTGGGAGGGATCCTTGCGATGGACTAGCAGTTGATAGTGGGAGATGCCTTTTTTAAATTGGCCTAAATTGGCCTAGCACTACAGTAACCATGATGAGCTCTGGTCAGATGAGACACAGTGCTCATGTATAGACTCTTTATCTTTAGTGCAGATTAAGTGCAGAACATAAACTTTAATTGGCCCTTGTTAGGCCCTTTCTCCTCTTTGCGGCTCAACCCCATATCCTCAACTTGACTGCTCTGTCACAATAAGAGCTGAAAGGTTATCTTCATTAAGCATCAGTTTGGAGTGTGAACATATGTGTGGAGGATTATTTAAATTATGATAACAGTCTTTCATCCTCATATAAATATTTGTGTTTGTTTCTAAGTATATTAAGAATGGTTAATTTGAGTAGTATTTGAGTATTTGAGTGGTAAAGACTGGATCCAGTGTTTTGGGCTGTTGAATTATCTCCAATTTGTAAATATTTGTGTGTTTGGTACCTTGTGTTTGTAGTTTAATAAATTGTCTTTTAAGCTATTGTCTACATGTTTCTCAAGCACCATGTTGA